GAAGTGATCAGGATTCAGAGTTGGCAACCATTTGGGTTGTAGGTTTTTCAGGCTATATGGTCATGTTCTAGAATCATTCTCTCCTGATGTTTTGCCTACATCTATGGCAAGCATTCTCAGAGGTTGTGAGGTCTCAGAGGTTTGGCAGCCATTTCCTTCCTGGCTGTTTCCAGTCAGCGCTCTCTTCACTCTCTGAGATGAAAGTGGCAGTTAAAACCGTTTGTCTCAGCAGCAAGCCAGAGACAGCAGCCAATCAGAACCCTGGCTCCTGGCATGCTCAGTCAATTGTCTTTCCAGTCAACCTATTTATATCATGGTGTCGCTTTGCAAATCCTCAGAACTTGTATTTGTTGTTTGCTCTTTGTTTTGAACTTTTGCCCCTTGTTTTGAACTCTGTAATTCATCCTTTGCCTATAATTCCGATTCACCATTCAGGGAAATGGATGTGTTAGATGCAGCAGAGCATAGATCCCTTGAAGAGAGATTGCCTGAAGGACACAAAAGAGCCATCTTTGCAAAGTGTTCTCTTTCTAGACTACTGATTTGTAAAATTCCATTTTGGAACAACTCTAAAAATATCCATTGATTTCCTGAAGGACCACAGGTTAAATGTATCGGGAAAATACTATCTAAGATCTCTGGCTCTCGAGGGCGGCAAGAGCATTAGAACTGTCACGAATTAAAAGGGGAACATAAGAGATGGCGCGCCTCTCTCTACATTGCGCCAGTAATAGAAGGAAATGGCACAAAAGAAGCAACAAGATAGAAAAAGGAGAAACAGAAAGACAAACCAAGACATTCCAGGGGCAATGTTGGGTCTTCTGTTGTTATCTGTTCAGAAAGAACGCGAACAAAAAAGGACGATGCATATTTCCAGGCGAATCTTGCTTTCCAGGCACTTGGAATGGCCAGCCTGTCCACATCCATCAGCAATATTTCACTTTATAATCAAAGAAGCAAGAGTTATTAAATTGAAGTTGGAAGACTATAGACATTACAGTGTGATCAATCATTTCAGCTGCTGTTTAATGGACCGAGAATTGAAATTAGAGGCAATTGCATTGGCATCATTTTGAAAGAGCTGGTGTCGTGTGGCAGTTTCCGCACTGGACTATATGGCTCTGGAGATCAGGAATCAAATCCCTGCCCAGCCATTAAACCCACTGGGCTACTTTGGGCTGGTCACAGTGCCTCAGCCTTATAGAGAGGCAATGACAAACTTCTTCTGAAAATACTTTGGTCTCCATAGGTTTTTTTTTTCCATGTCAGGAGCGACTTGAGAAACAGCAAGTCATTTCTGGTGTGAGAGAATTGGCTATCTGCAAGAACGTTGCCCACACGCAACGTTGCCCTCCAAAGTCATTTACCCGGCCCTCGCTCAGGGCCAACCTAAGTCTGAAATGACTTGAAAGCACACAACAACAACAACAACAACAACAACAACAATGGTATCTCATCAGCCAAAAGCAGACCCACACTTCCCATTGAAATACTAATAAGTTATGGTATTGTTTTAAAGTGTGTTTGTGTTTGTTTGTTTGTTTGTTTGTTTTTTTGCATTACAAATAAGACATGTGCAATGTGCATAGGAATTCATTCATGGTTTTTTTTTCCAAACTATAATCTGGCTGTTCAGGTACAACTTTACCAGGAGCTCCAATTTTGTTTGCTTTGCATTGAATGTTTGTTGCAGTCCTAAGTTTCAGGGACTCTGCAGATAGGTGGCTTCTTTTGGCTGCAATCATAGGGCAAGCCACCTGTCAATTATAGTTAGGTTCCCTGGTCCCGCCCCCTTTTTGGGTTTTTGGAGGGAATAGGAGCCTTTTTGGGTTCAGTCCACACAGAGAAGCTTTCATGCAGGACATAATACCAAGAGCTCCTGTAGAAAGCTTCGTCTTCTACGGCTTGGCCGGGGAGATATACAACCTACAGCTTGGCTGGGGTTATACAGCCCTACAGCTCCTTTGCTGAAGGACTCCAGTCAGCCATCATGAACACCTTCTTTTCCCCTGGAAGTCTACAAAGCTCTGCTTGGTAAGGGTCACTCGCGGAAGCCAGAAGCAGTTGGTACCGGGTGCAGGGGCTCCACGCCAACAGAGGCAAAGACAGACTGCCCAGATTAGAAGTTAAGGATTTCCCCATTAGTTACAGTTATGAAGATAGTGCCTGTTCCCTGTGGACAAGATTGAGAGAGAGCCAATAGACTGTTAAGAAAGCCTTAAAGTACCTGTTTGTTTTCATTAATAAAGAACTTTGTTGAACCTTTAAGCAATCTAAAGACTCTGTTTTAAGGAAATCCAAGGGCCTTTAATCTGAGGCAGCCCCGGCGTCCCGTTGGGCACACAGAATTTATGTCCTGTCTACAGTCGTATGTACAGGCCCAGCGTGCGACAGCACACTGGGCCTCCAACAGTTTGAGGGACTGTGACCTGGCCCTCTGTTTAAAAAGTTTGTGGATCCCTGGATTAACACATAGCACCACCGGGGGCTCCTTTCTATAAGTTGGAAACATCTTAAAGCAGTGTTTCTCAAGCTGGGGGTCGGGACCCCTGGGGGGGTTGCCAGGGGGTGTCAGAGGGGTCACCAAAGACCATCCAAAAACACAGTATTTTCTGTCGGTCATGGGGGTTCTGTATGGGAAGGTTGACCCAATTCTATCCTTGATGAGGTTCAGAATGCTCTTTGATTGTAGGTGAACTATAAATTCCGGCAACTAAAACTCCCTAATGTCAAGGTCTATTTCCCCCAAACTCCATCTGTGTTCATATTTGGGCATATGGAATATTTGTGCCAAGTTTGGTCCAGATCCATCATTGTTTGAGTCCATAGTGATCTCTGGATGTAGGTGAACTACAAGTCCAAAACTTAAGATCAATGTCCACCAAACCCTTCCAGTATTTTCTGTTGGTCAGGGGAGTCCTGTGTGCCAAGTTTGGTTCAATTCCATTGTTGGTGGGGTTCAGAATGCTCCTTGATTGTAGGTGTTCTATAAATCCCAGCAACTACAACTCCCAAATGACAAAATCAAAAAAAAATTGAGTGAAGGACATACATTGGGTTGTTAGGTTTATGCTGTCCAAATTTGGTGTCAATTTGTCTAGTCGTGTTTGAGTTATGTTAATCCCACAAATGAACATTACATTTTTATTTATACAGATAAAACACTCTGGATTTGACTCTGAATGTCTTTTTGACCTTTATTGCTAAATGGATCTTTTTGTTCTGTTTTCTATTTGACCTTGCAAGGTTTTTTTTTTTTAAATTCCTCATTTATCAGCTCCTTGATAGAATGAGGCTGGAATTTGACATGGTGCTCTCTGTGTATATTTTAAAGATGTACCTAATGCCAGACTTATCTGTAACAGCTATAGATGCCAGCAAAGGATTAATACAAGTCAGGAATGCAGACATACGAGGGTTGAATGAAAAGTAATGCCTCCAACTTCGTAATGCCTCAACAGGTGGCAGTATTTGTATGCAGCAAGTACTGGCTTGTTCAGTAGACTCTCCTTTACAGTTCCGGTTCCTTAGCATCGAATGGTTGTGTTGTTAAATTGCGAAGTATGGAACCCTGTGCAGACGGTCAGTCAACACGACTTAAGCAACGTGCAGTCATTGAATTCTTGGCAGCAGAAGGTGTCACCCCAAAGGAGATTCATCAGAGAATGCAAGCTGTTTATGGTGATTGTGCTGGTGTGAGTCCTGTGCGTCATTGAGCGAGTAAGTTTAAAGATGTTGAGGTGGGAACATCTCTGACTTGCGTGACAAACAAAGACTTGGATGTCCTGTGACAGCAACCGCCAAGTTTCACAAACAAAAGTTGACAGATTGATTCAGGACGATCATCGTATCACTCAGAGAGAAATTTCAAGCACAATCGGCATTTCACAAGAACGTGTGGGTCACATTATTGCTTTGCTTGGCTATTAGAAGATCTGTGCACAATGCATTGCAGAAACAGTGTCGACTTCTTCTGTGACGGCTTCAAAAAACTTGTTTTTATTTATTTATTTATTCGACTTGTATACCGCTACTCCCAATTTGGCTCGGAGCGGTTTACAGAAACAGATTAAAACAATACAGTTAGCTTTAAAAATAACCACAACAATAACAACAGGCAGCGAGGACAAACATAGCCTGGATTGTTCACCCATCAAAAGCTTGCCGGAAAAGAAAAGTTTTACAGGCTTTCCGAAAAGCAAGTAGGTCTCAGATGGTTCAAGTTTCAACCGGCAAGGCATTCTATAAATAAGGGGCCACGATCGAGAAGGCTCTATGCCTAGTAGATGACAAATGATCATCGTTAGCAGAAATGTATCCAGTTGTCTGGTGATTATGTGGAAAAGGGAATAGTGGTAGTTAAAGAGCACATTCTTAGGATTATTTCTGCTGGGTTGTTGTAGGTTTTTTCAGACTATATGGCCATGGTCTAGAGGCATTCTCTCCTGACGTTTTGCCTGCATCTATGGCAAGCATCCTCAGAGGTAGTGAGGTCTGTTGGAACTAGGAAAATGGGTTTATATATCTGTGGAATGACCAGGGTGGGACAAAGGACTCTTGTCTGCTGGAGCTAGGTGTGAATGTTTCAACTGACCACCTTGATTAGCATATAATGGCCTGACAGTGCCTGGAGCAAACTTTTGTTGAGAGGTGATTAGATGTCCTTGTTTGTTTCCTCTCTGTTGTTGTGCTGTTGTAATTTTTAGAGTTTTTTAATACTGGTAGCCAGATTTTGTTCATTTTCATGGTTTCCTCCTTTCTGTTGAAATTGTCCACATGCTTGTGTATTTCAATGGCTTCTCTGTGTAGTCTGACATGGTGGTTGTTTGAGTGCTTGATTTATCAAAATATTCCCATCCAAACCCAAGTAATGAAGGTGGAGGCATTACTTTTCATTCAACCCTCGTAGATAAGTAAAACGGAGAAATAAAACTTTCCTCACGAAAGCTGCAGGAGATACGGTTAGAATATTATAACAATGTCTTCTTCTTTTACTGCAGGACTCCCAGCCTTCACCTCTCAACCTGACCCAGGGTGCATGACAAGGAAACTTTCCTTACACAGCTGGAACCCACACTGCAGATCAGGTCAGTTCCTTTTTGCCTGGAAAATAGAGGTTGGCATTGGTGTCGCAAAGAGGGTTGCAGTCCTGGCACACAGTGGCTGGAATCCTGTTTGCGACAAAACTTCAGATCACACACAGTTATGCAGAATTTGAGGATGATGCCTGAGGAGCTATTTATTTGCTCCTCGCAAGACATCTAAGCCATGCCAGCAGGCCTTGGCACTGCTGGCATGGTCACCGACTGGCTGATGGCGATGGGGAGATGAGAAAGATGACCGAGCTGTTCAGTTCTTCAGCTAAGGGAGGAGAAATGGGGCTCTAATCACAGACTTGTAATGAGTCACTGGAGAGTTGAGAGTGCAGCTTCATTTCTCTTCTCCTATCTCGCTGCTCTCTGTCTGCCTTCTCTTTTCCTTCTCTCCCTGAATAGCCATTGCAGCATCTCACCAGGGTGAGGAGAAAGCACAGGGCTGTATGTCCTTCACATTGTGCCCTTCCTTCCCTTTTGTCTTTCCTTCCTTCTCTCTTTCCTCTCTCCTTCTCTCCCACCCTTCCTTCCATCCATCCATCCATCTCTTCCACACTTTCTTCCTTCTCTTCCACCCTTCTTTCCACCTTTCCTTCCTTCCTTCTCTCTTTCCTTCTGTCACAGTGAAGTCGAACATGAGTAAACAGGGCTGGAGTCGTTTAGGGCTTTATAGTAGGGCTGGGCGGTTTCGTTTCGTTAATTCGTAATTCGTTAATAATTCGTTAATTTTTTCAATTACAAAACGATAACTAACCATTCTGGAGCAATTATTAAAAAAAAACGAATTTTCAAAAACGTTTTGTAAATGCTTCGTATTTCGATATTGTATTCGTTTCGTTATTGTTTTGAGGTCGTTTCGTTATTATTTCCGCATGTCTGGGCCAGTTTTATGGTTTAATTAGTGAAAAAAAGTTATAATATCACACCAACAGTCAACAACAGAGGGAGAGGGAAGCTTCAGAAGTTTTTGGAGGTTTTTTAGCGTATTTCGCGGTCGCGTCCGCCATTAACGAATCGATTCGTTATTGTTTCGGAAATCGATTCGTAATTTTTTACATTTACGAAATTTCGTAAATATCGAACTTTTTAAAAGGAAAATTTTGTAATTATTTTAAATAACGAAACGCAAAAACCCCCAAAAACGAATCGATTTTAGAAACAAATTTTTCCGTTGTTACCCAGGCCTACCTTATAGTTTTACTAAGGTCAAGGACACCAGACTGGATAATAAGGGTTAAGCCTTGGTCAGTTTGGTGTGTCTCATTTAATCAAGGCTTTATGCCCTATTTTCATATGTTTATAGCAGAAGGTAACCAATTTATTACTGAAAATCATGCCACAAAAGTATTTGACTTTTCCCACCTGAGGCACACCTGGGCTCCTGATGGTCCCCCACCTCACAAACAAGGGGCTCTCTTTCCCCCTCATGGATATATTTCCCTTTTGGTCATGTGGCCAGCCTCTGTTGCCTTTGGGGGTCCCTTCCAGCTCTAGGATTCTATGTCAGGAGTAAGCAATACGGAGTCTAATGGATATGCATTTTTCTCCTGTCCACCATCTCATCCTGATCAAAACAAACCCTTTTGGGATCCAAACATTTCCCATCTTTCCTTCATGTTCTGCCTCCAAAAGAGAAGAGGAAGGAGAGGAAAGGGTAGCATGGAGCGCCGTTAGAATCATAGAGTTGGTAGAGACCTCATGGGCCATCCAGTCCAACCCCATTCTGCCAAGATGCAGGAAAATTGCATTCAAAGCACCCCCGACAGATGGCCATCCAGCCTCTGCTTAAAAGTTTCCAAAGAAGCAGTCTCTGCCACACTCCAGGGCAGAAAGTTACCTTTCTGCCGGAGCGGTACCTATTGATCTACTCACATTTGCATGTTTTCGAACTATTAGGTTGGCAGAAGCTGGGGCTAACAGCGGGAGCTCACCCCACTCCCCGGATTCAAACCAAGAATCTTTTGGTCATGTGGCCAGCATGACTGCATGGAGCGCCGTTAGAATCATAGAGTTGGTAGAGACCTCATGGACCATCCAGTCCAAGCCCCTGCCAAGACGCAGGAATATTGCATTCAAAGCACCCCCGACAGATGGCCGTCCAGCCTCTGTTTAAAAGATTGCAAAGAAGGAGCCTCTACCAGGGCAGAAAGTTACCTTTCTGCTGGAGCAGTACCTATTGATTTACTCACATTCACATGTTTTCAAACTGCTAGGTTGGCAGAAGCTGTGGCTAATAGCGGGAGCTCAGGCTGCTCCTTGGATTTGAACCTGTCACTTTTCGGTCAGCAAGTTCAAAAGCTCATGTATGAATGCATCCTCAAAAACAGCATGAATGTTGACCATTTGTCCCGTGGATTTTCTTCTACGCTTTATATTTCCAAACAGAGTTTGGAAACTTGGTAGTTGAGAGATGATTGGCCAAAACTAACAAAATGAAGTTCAATGGGGACAAATGCAAGATACTCCACTTAGGCAGAAAAAACGAAATACAAAGAGACAGAATGGGGGACAATGCCTGGTTCGAGAGCAGGACGTGTGAAAAAGATCTTGGGAGTCCTTGTGGGGAGGAAGGTGAACATGAGCCAACAATGTGATGCGGCGGCAAAAAAAGCCAATGGGATTTTGGCCTGCATCAATAGGAGCCTAGTGTCTAGGGAAGTCATGCTACCCCTCTATTCCGCTTTGGTCAGACCACACCTGGAATATTGTGTCCAATTCTGGGCACCACAATTGAAGGGAGATGTTGACTTTAAGCTGAAATGTGTCCAGAGGAGGGTGACTCGCTAACACATCGTTGTTACCTTTTGCAGGTGTAAAATGATGGTAGCAGTGGAAATTAACCCTGATGTGGAGAGACATAAACAATGGAAGAGCCAACACCCGAACCTGCCTTTGTTGATGTGGACAAAGGACTAACCTTAGCATGCTTTGTCTTCCTTTGCCTCTTCCTGATTGTCATGATCATCCGTTGCGCAAAAGTCATCATGGACCCTTACAGTGCCATCCCGACGTCCACGTGGGAGGAGCAGCACCTGGATGACTGATGGGCCGCGGAGGCAAAGCGACAACAACATGGACCAAGCCAGACGAGCACAATGCGGATGGTCGCCTCATTGGGAGGAAGGCACAGAACATTCTCCTGCTTTTCCAGGACGCACAGGACAAATCGTGGTGACACTGATGAGCGTTTCCTCCAGATGTTCACGACGTGACCCTCTAACCTATTTCTATGTAGTGGCCTCCGGGGTTTAAAGAGGGAAAGGACTATTATGATTGCGTGTCAAGTAGCACAAAAGCCCTAGCGGTGTCTTCCAAGCTTTTTCTAATATATCCTCTATGAAGCACCTTCTCTGTGTTTAAATCATTATTCATAATTGAAATGAGCAATAGATGCTAAAATGTGTACATGGCAAATCTCTAGGAATAGATACCGGCAAGTAGACTGTAGGAAACAAGGGCAAAGGGTGCTGTGGTTGACACCAGTGCGGCTATTTTGAAACAGATTGGCAATAAAAGTATGCAAGGTTGTCTTTGTTCTTTGAATTTAATAAGCTGTATGTTTATTGGTTTGTTGTAGGTTTTTTCAGGCTGTATGGCCAGGGTCTAGAGAGGCATTCTCTCCTGACATTTCGCCTGCAGGCGAAACGTCAGGAGAGAATGCCTCTAGACCATGGCCATACAGCCCGAAAAAACCTACAACAAACCCGTGATTCCGGCCATGAAAGCCTTCGGCAATGTATGTTTATTTATCGTGTCAGGAGCAACCAGACATTTGTATTACATTATTAACAAAAACAAACAAACAAACAGACAAAACACAAAGTTGCAAGCTTGGTAGTTGATTAAATGTCCTTTGACCAGTATCTGGCCACTTGGAGTGCCTCTGGTGTTGCTGCAAAGGTCCTCCATTGTGCATGTGGCAGGGCTCAGGTTGCATTGCAGCAGGTGGTCAGTGGTTTGCTCTTCTCCGCACTCGCATGCCGTGGATTCCACTTTGTGGCCCCATTTCTTGAGGTTGGCTCTGCATCTCGTGGTGCCAGAGCGCAGTCTGTTCAGCGCCTTCCAAGTCGCCCAGTCCTCTGTGTGCCCAGGGGAGAGTCTCTCATTTGGTATCAGCCATTGGTTGAGGTTCTGGGTTTGAGCCTGCCACTTTTGGACTCTCGCTTGCTGAGGTGTTCCAGAGTTTCATGTAGATCTTAGAAAACTATTTCTAGATTTAAGTCGTTGACATGCTGGCTGATACCCAAACAGGGGATTAGCTGGAGATGTCTCTGCCTTGGTCCTTTCACTATTGGCTGCTACCTTCCCGGCGGATGTCAGGTGGTGCAATACCGGCTAAGCAGTGTAATTTCTCCAGTGGTGTAGGGCGCAGACACCCCGTGATAATGCGGCATGTCTCATTAAGAGCCACATTCACTGTTTGAGCGTGGTGAGATGTGTTCCACACTAGACATGCATACTCAGCAGCAGAGGAGCAAAGCGCAAGGGCAGATATCTTCATTGTGTCTGGTTGTGATCCCCAGGTTGTGCCAGTCAGCTTTCGTATGATATTGTTTCTAGCACCCACTTTTTGCTTGATGTTCAGGAAGTGCTTCTTGTAGGTCAGAGCACGGTCCAGAGTGACTCCCAGGGATTTGGGTGCGCTGCAATGCTCCAGTGGGATTCCTTCCCAGGTGATCCTCAGAGCTCGGGATGCTTGTCTGTTCTTGAGGTGAAAAGCACATGTCTGTGTTTTAGATGGGTTGGGGATCAGCTGGTTTTCCCTGTAATAGGCAGTAAGAGCACCTAGAGCTTCGGAGAGCTTCTGTTCAACCATCTCAAAGCTCCCTGCTTGAGCAGTGATGGCACGATCATCAGCATAGATGAAACTCTCTGTCCCTTCTGGCAGTGGCTGGTCATTTGTGTAGATGTTGAACATGGATGGAGCAAGCACGCTCCCCTGAGGCAGGCCGTTCTTCTGTTTCCGCCATCTGTTTCTCTGGCCCTGGAACTCAACAAAAAAGCTCCTGTTTTGTAGAAGGTTTCCTATGAGGCGGGTGTTGCAAGTGTCTTTTTAAACAACAACAACAACACTTTATTTCTATTCCGCCCTTCTCACCCCGAAGGGGACTCAGGGCGGATAACAATACACAAACACAGCAAACATTAAATGCCACTTTTTTATAGATCAGCATTTCTCAACCTGGTCCGGACCCCTGGGGGGTTCGCAAGAGGGGTGTCAGAGGGGTTGCCAAAGACCAGCACAAAACACAGTATTTTCTGTTGGTCATGGGGGTTCTGTGTGAGAAGTTTGGCCCAATTCTATCATTGATGAGTTCAGAATGCTCTTTGATTGTAGGTGAACTATAAATCCCAGCAATTACAACTCTCAAATGTCAAGGTCAATTTTCCCAAACCTCCGTCTGTGTTCACATTTGGGCATATTGAGTCTGTGAGCCAAGTTTGTTCCACATCCATCATTGTTTGAGTCCACAGGGCTCTCTGGATGTAGGTGAACTACAACTCCAAAACTCAAGGTCAGTGCCCACCAAACCCTTCCAGTATTTTCTGTTAGCCATTGGAGTTCTGTATGCCAAGTTTGGCCCAATTCTATCATTGGTGGGGTTCAGAGTGTTCTTAGATTGTAGGTGAACTATAAATCCCAGCAACTAACACTCTCAAATGACAAAATCAACACCTCCCTCCCCAAACCCACCAGTATTCAAATTTGGGCATATTGGGTATTTGTGCCAAATTTGGTCCAGTGAATGAAAATCCTGCATATTAGATATTTACATTACAATACATAACAGTAGCCAAATTAAGGTTATGAAGTAGCAATAAAAATAATGCTATGGTTGGGGGTCACCACAACATGGGGAACTGGATTAAGGGGTGGCCGCATAAAGAAGGTTGAGAAACACAGGTATAGACAATACACAGACAGACAGAACTGAAAGGAGGTATGTTGTTTTAACTCAGTGTCCAGCTCTTTTGGTGCCATAGAAGGTGAGTCCAGCCACGGGGGTGCTGTCGCTCCATCCTCTATGACGAAGATCCATCAGGACTTTCTCCTTCCTTTTGGTAGCCCAGCATTTTCTGATCATCTCTCTTTATGGCATCGTAAAACACCTCCCCCACTTTTAGCGGTACCTAATTTTTCTAATTACCGCTAAAGCTGTTTTCGACTGCTTAGGTAAACAGTGAGCAGGGTTGACAGTTGGCAGCTCACGCCGACCTGGGGCTTTGAACTTGCAACCTTTCGGTTGACAGATCTTATAGTTGCTGGTGATTAACCAGCTGTGCTAAACAAACTCAGTTTAATAATAGATGGTAATATGTGAGTGATATTTCCTCGAAGACTAAATACTCCAGTAGACAGGAGCAGAATCTAAAAAGATCTGAACAGATTAGAGAGATTTATTTATCGTGTCAGTATCAACCAGACAATTGTATTACATTTTTAACATTTTTTTAACAAACAGACAAAACAGAGTTTGGAAACTTGGTAGTTGAGAGACGATTGGCCAAAACTAACAAAATGAAGTTCAACAGTGACAAATGCAAGATACTCCACTTAGGCAGAAAAAATGAAATGCAAAGATACAGAATGGGGGACAATGCCTGGCTCGAGAGCAGTACGTGTGAAAAAGATCTTGGAGTCCTCGTGGACAGGAAGTTAAACATGAGCCAATAATGTGATGTGGTGGCAAAAAAAGCCAATGGGATTTTGGCCTGCATCAATAGGAGCATAGCGTTTAGATTTAGGGAAGTCATGCTCCCCATGCTCTATTCCGCTTTGGTCAAACCACACCTGGAATATTGTGTCCAATTCTGGGCAGCACAATTGAAGGGAGATGTTGACTCTATGCTGGAATGTGTCCAGAGGAGGGTGACTAAAATGATCAAGAGTCTGGAGAACAAGCCCTACGAGGAGCGGCTTAAAGAGCTGGGCATGTTTAGCCTGAAGAAGAGAAGGCTGAGAGGAGATATGATAGCCATGTATAAATATGTGAGAGGAAGCCACAGGGAGGAGGGAGCAAGCTTGTTTTCTGCTTCCCTGGAGACTAGGACGCAATGGAAACATGGCTTCAACCTACAAGAAAGGAGATTCCACCTGAACATGAGGAAGAACTTCCTGACTGTGAGAGCCATTCAGCAGTGGAACTCTCTGCCCCGGAATGTGGTGGAGTCTCCTTCTTCGGAGGCTTTTAAACAGAGGCTGGATGGCCATCTGTCAGGGGTGATTTGAATGCAATTTTCCTGCTTCTTGACAGAATGGGGTTGGATAGGATGACCCATGAAGTCTCTTCCAACTCTTTGATTCTATGATTCTAAATTCCACAAAGGTAGAATGTCCTCCAAAGCACTTCATATTGTTTTTAGGTCTGCTTGTAAGTTTCCACAAACCTGCCCCATTATTTTCTTTCACCCGTGTCCAGCATTATTTTTTAATTTCAATTACATTTGGCCTACCCATAGTTTTTAAAGTGTGCTGTCCCATTGATAATGCTTATGTTATGATTTTATTGTCTTGTTGTTTTTAAATTGCTTGTATTGTTGTTGTTATTGTTTGTATTGTTGTATTTTGGGCTCGGCCTCATGTAAGCCGCACTGAGTCCCTTGGGGAGATGGTAGGTAGCGGGGTATAAATAAATAAATAAATAATAATTATTATTATTATAGAAAAAGGAGGTATGAGTGTGCTCTAAGTGGAGGTCAGCTGTGACCAGCAGTGCTGCATAATTCGAAAAAGCACAAATGGAGGGTGAAAGGGAGAAATGTGCCAAGAGGAAGGAGGCATGTCAAGCCAACCCTGACTGGGACCGCCTTCCATCTGGAAACGGATGTCCTTGTCATGAATCTAACCTTTTGCCAGGAAGGCCGAAGCCTGGAAAGACAGTAGCTGACATGTTCAGAGATAGGCAGGAGAGCTAAGAGGCAAGAGGGAGGAGTCAGCCGACTCCTGATTGGCTAGAGCAGTCAGAGGAGGAGTTAGCTTTGAGAGGGAAAAAAGGCTGTCTTATTTGACAAGCTGGGGAGTTGAGCTTTAAACATCGTAGAGTGAAGAAGTATTTTAGGGAGAGGGAGCTGAGAGGAATTTAGACAGGGAGAACTTTTGAAGTGAGCCTTGAGGGTTAGAGCATAGGAAAGGCAAAGGTTCCTGGTTCACTGTACAGAGTAGGGTCAGTGAAGGAAAGCCTATTTTGCTCTGTGAGGCAGTCAGTGGGCTGTTCTCAAGGACACACTGTGTCAGTGTAGTGGCCAGTGTGAGGCAAGGAACTCACTGGGGAACAAAAGTTAAAGTCTTGAGAGAAGACTGTTTGTCTAAACCAGCTAAGCCTCTGAAACGCATTACGCTTTTGTACCACTCTTATGAAGAGTTGATTTGTTCACTAAGTTTAAATAAACCTGTTTCTGATTTTCATCTTTAAACTGGTGTCTGCCTCGGTCTGTGTAGCTCAATAGATCTCAGTTAGCCTAAAAATATTTCAGTCCAGTCAGCGAAAGAAGCAGCCATTGAAGGAAAACCTAGGGCTTAAATACTCTTTACCTATTTCACATTCACACTTATGTTTTCCTCAGACATATATTGAGGTGGTGGCGGCGAATCTACCTAATACATCGGTCATTAACAATGTTAAATCAGTTGGTCACTTAACAATATTTCTGAGGTGGGATAAGAGAGTCTTTCCCCCTTTGTCACAGTCATATATTCTCGTTAAAGTAGTGTCCAGCTGAACGTTAACACCCTTCACACTGGTGGACAGAGGTTGAGATTAGTCTTGCCTCCTGTCCAGTGTGTCGCTGATCTTTGTTACACTGGTGGCAGCGGTGGGATTTGCTTGTCCACCCTGCCCTAGTGGTCGTTCATCTCCTTTATAGTCCTCACCGTGGAAGAACATGCGGACCAAGAATAGGACTCTACAGCCACCCACATAACCACCGCCAAGACACAACACTTGGAGGACCATCATCCTCGGGCTAAGTGAAGTCCCATTATGCCCACTTGAGGATGTTATTAATGTGGATTTCCCTAAATATTTATGAAAAAAGAATAAAATCTTGCATGAAAGGTCAAATGGGAAGGTTGATCTGAAGTATTTCAGTCATTCACATTTAAAGCCAGGAAGGGAGTCATGTGTCACATTCAAAACGATCAGTTTTATTGATTTATAAACCTTTGAAGATGAGATCTTTATCAGATGCTGAGGAACCTTAGATAGGTCAGGCTGGGAGCACTTTTCCAGAGCATTCGCCAAAGCCAACGCGGTAACCTTTCCCCTGGCAGTAACCTAAGGAAAAAGAAAACATACGTTGGCCACCAAGTTAGGAAACTGGACAGATATGTTTGGAAAAATACTAAACTATGCAAGAAGAGCACGATGATTAAGAGAAGTCTTATCTTCTACCGATAAGAACAGGGTCTAGATTGGACTTACTTACTTACTTACTTACTTACTTACTTACTTAGGTGATCCCTCGTTGGCCGAGTAGGATAGTCTTCCAGGATCAGTGTTCTGGTGGGTCCGTAGGTGACTGTGGAGCCCTATTCTTGCTCTGCATGTTCTCCCGCAGTGAGGACATTGGTTTCCAGGTGGAAGGCGGTCCCAGTCGAGGTTGGCTTGACACACCTTCCTCCTGGCACGTTTCTCCCTCCATTCGTGCCTCTTCAAATTCTACAGCACTGCTGGTCACAGCTGACCTCCAGCTGGAGCGCTCAAGGGCCAGGGCTTCCCAGTTCTCAGTGTCTATGCCAAAGTTTTTGAGGTTGGCTTTGAGCCCATCTTTAAATCTCTTTTCCTGTCCACCAACATTCCGTTTTCCATTCTTGAGTTCGGAGTAGAGCAACTGCTTTGGGAGACGGTGGTCGGGCATCCGGACAATGTGGCTGGTCCAGCGGAGTTGATGGCGGAGGAGCATTGCTTCAATGCTGGTGGTCTTTGCTTCTTCCAGCATGCTGACATTGGTCCGCTTGTCTTCCCAAGAGATTTGCAGGATTTTCTGGAGGCAGCACTGATGGAATCGTTCCAGGAGTTGCATGTGATGTCTGTAGACAGTCCACGTCTCACAGGCATATAGCAGGGTTGGGAGGACAATAGCTTTATAAACAAGCACCTTGGTATCCCTATGGATGTCCCGGTCCTCAAACACTCTCTGCTTCATTCAGAAAATGCTGCGCTCGCAGAGCTCAGGCAGTGTTGTATTTCGGTGTCGATGTTGACTTTGGTGGAGAGGTGGCTGCCAAGGGATTATCAACATTTTCTAATGTTCCACCATTAAGCTGTATCTCTGGCACTGGAGAGGGATTGGCTGCTGACTGCTGGAACAGCACCTTGGTTTTTTCAATGTTCAATGACAGGCCAAGCTTCTCGTATGCTTCTGCGAAGGTGTTTAGAGTGGCTTGTAGATCTTCTTCTGAATGCACACAGATGACATTGTCATCAGCATACTGGAGTTCTATAACAGATGTTGTTGTAACCTTGGTTTTGGCTTTCAGTCTGCTGTGGTTAAATAGCTTGCCATCTGTCCGATAGATGATTTCCACTCCGGTGGGAAGCTTCCCATCAACAAGGTGAAGTATCATAGCGATGAAGATGGAGAATAGAGTTGGGGCAATAACACATCCCTGTTTGACACCTGATTCCACCTTAAATGGGTCACTTTGGGAGCCACTGCTGTCCAAGACTGTTGCCATCATGTCATTGTGGAGGAGCCGCAGGATGTTCACAAATTTGTTAGGGCACCCGATTTTTTGGAGGATGGTCCAGAGAGCACTAGATTGGACTCTTGCAATGCTCTCTATGTGGGGCTGCCCTTTAAGACAGCCCAGAAACTTCAATTGGTCCAGCATTCAGCTGCCAGACTTCTAACTGGAGCGAATTACAGGGAGCGGTCCACCCCCCTGTTTAAGGAGCTCAATTGGCTGCAGTTTATTTTCCGGTCCCAATTCAAGGTACAGATCATCACCTAAAAATCCCTGAACGGTTTGGGACCCGCCTACCTTCGTGACCGCATCCCTGTCTATGCACCTGCACGATCCCTTCGGTCATCTAGGGAGGCCCTCCTTTTGCTCCCACCTCCGCCGCAAGTGCGACTTGTGGGGACGAGGGAGAGGGTCTTCTCTGTGGTGGCCCCTAGACTTTGGAACTCGCTACCTGTTGTCATTAGGCAAGTGGCCACTTTGGCAGCCTTCAGAAAGAGTTTTAAAAAAGGCTGTTCCGGTGTGCCTTTGAGGATGAAACAACAAGTTCCTCACCTTGCCCAACTCAGCACATAATGCACTTTATCTCACCCTTCAGTGAACTAAATCCCATTGTTTGTCCCATCTGAACCTCCCACCAGATATATCACCCTACTCATCCATCTCACCCAGAGTTTTAAAAATCCTGTTCGTTGTATTTGGCCCTGCCCGCTTGGTTATTGTTTTGTTACTTATGTTATATCTTGTGTTTATTTTGTATCATTTTCTTAATAATAATAATAATAATAATAATTGTTGTATTAGTTGATGATTTTATGTTGTATTCTTTTGCCTTATTGTAATTGTTGGGCTTGGCCTCATGTTAGCCGCCCTGAGTCCCCTTGGGGAAATGGAGGCGGGGTATTTATTTTTTATTTGTCGTGTCAGGACAACCAGTCAAATTATATTATAATTTATTATAATTTAATATAAGATGGAGGCGGGGTATAAATAAAGTATTATTATTATTATTATTATTATTATTATTATTATTATTATTTTTCAGGAAAATATAAGGGCCAGGTAAACAATAATAATAATAATAATAATAATAATAATAATAATAATAATAATAATCTTTATTTGTTACCCCGCCACCATCTCCCCAGTGGGGACTCGGAGCGGCTTACATGAGGCCAAGCCCAAACAGAAAATTACAATAAAATAAAACCGAAGATCACTCTGCTGGCTGTTGTATTGGATCACACATCAAACACTTCCCAAGTGTCTAGGACTGTGTGATGTATCGGTGAATGTGTGCAGATCCCAATAAAGTGGCCTTCTGCAGCTGGCAGATGGTAATTTTGTCAGTGCCAATTGTGTTTAAGCGCAGGCCAAGGTCTTTAGGCACTGCACCCAGTGTGCCGATCACCAGTGGGACCACCTTGATGGCTTGTGCCAGAGTCTTTGCAGTTCGATCTTTAAATCCTCATATCGTGTCAGCTTTTCCAGTTGTTTCTCTGCAATCCTGCTGCCGCCTGGGATTGCGACATCAACGATCCATACTATATTATTATTATTATTATTATTATTATTATTATTATTATTATAACTACTACTACTACACTGCCCTGTATCTCAGGATCTGATCCTGGATAATCCGCTTTGAACTGGATTATATGAGTCTACACTGCCTAATAAACAGATAATCTGGGATGAGATCCTGGGATAAAGGGCAGTGTAGATCCAACCTGAGAGGAACATGAGAGCGTGAGGAACATGAAGCACTGCACCCAGTGTGCCGCTCACCACTGGGACCACCTTTACTGGCTTGTGCCAGAGTTTTTGCAGTTCTTTAAATCCTCATATCATCATCATCATCATCATCATCATCATCATCATCATCATCATCATGACCCAGACTTGAGCCAACTTGGGCCCGCTAGGTGTTTTGGACTTCAACTCCTACAATTCCAAACAGCCTCAAGCCCTTTCCTTTTCACACCAAGACCAAGGCATTTCTCCCACTGAGGCCTCTCTTCCACTGAAGCCTCTCTCACACTGAGGCCTACCTCACAATGAGGGTTCTCTCAGACTGATGCCTCATTCACTGAGGCGTTTCTCTCTGTCTGAGGGCTACTAACCTACATGCACACCTGCTTATATTGAACTGATTAAGCAAGTGAGGGTGAAAAGGAGAGGACCTGAGGGTGTTAGGAATGGTGGGAGTTGGAGTCCAAAGCACCTGGAGGGCCCAAGTTTGCCCATGCCTGGTCTTTCCAATTCCAGCTCTAAAGCTGAGGAATTAACCACGTATGGATGCTTAATAGAGTTGGATTTTTTTTCATACTTAGTATTTAGAAAACCTCT